TACATTAAGGAAGTCTTACCAGTTGCACTTAAATATGGAAACAAGATTTTTGGTGATGATTGGATTTATCAACAGGATGGTGCAACGGCGCACACCCACAATTTAACTCAAAAGTGGTGCAAAGACAACTTTCCGTCATTTTTGGACAAAGAGTATTGGCCGCCAAATTCACCGGATTTGAACTCACTCGATTACTCAATATGGGACGAATTCGTTCAACAAATGAACTGGGACAATGTTCAGTCGAAAAAGACATTAATTAACGAGCTGAAGCGAACAGTAAAACGAATTAGAGAAACAGTAATTTTTGAAAGCTGTAAAAGTTGGACTAACAGATTGTACCGTTTGAAAGAAAATGATTTTGAATATTTACATTAAATAAAACACATAGATTTTTAGAGAATTGAATGACGAATCTTTTTAAAAAAAGATTAGGTCGATAGCATCAAAATTAACGGAGTTATAATGAAAACAAAATAGTGTAATTCTTTATGGCCCACCCGTTATTTCATATTATTCCCAAGCGATGATCTACTATGAAAATTTATATAAAAGGCAGGTGGAAAAAAGTTCTATAGTTTTTGATTGAAAAGTTATTTCGAATTGCGGTTTTCACCATTCAATAGAGGAAGGTCGGGGGGCAGATACCTATGTGGAAAGCTGCCGTTCAAAGTATTCTGTCAAGTCGATTTTCGCTGACGAAATTTAGTATGTATTAGGCGATCTTTTTAAGGATATTTTTCCATGATGTTGGTACCCCAACATGCCCACTTCACACTGGTATCGAAGGCATTTTCTCACTTTCCTTACTGGAAATACCAGAGATATTTCAACGATCAAACTATACGTAAGACGTTTCTCGTTAAGAAATGAAAATATAAACAAAACACGTTTTTTACTACATTAAGCAATATAAAAGAAAGCTATTTATTTTCGAAATCTTACATGATACTGCTTAGTCACTCTCTTAGTATACGCTTGTCAGTATTTAATGACAATATGGAGAAAGGAAAGAAAAAACAGTATGTATTTACGATAGTTGTCTCAATCTTCTTTTTTGCTTTCCCTGTTTGATATGCACATGCTTGATGTCATAGGTAGTATGATTAGTAACCATGCCAACATGTCATGAGTTTTCGCAAGAAGTGAAACCACTAATGTTTCATTTCTTCTTTATAACGTGAAAGAGCGTCTTGTTGAAATGTTAAATATATCAGAAAGATCAGTGTACAGAGTAACGCATGAATTACACCATTCAAGATGTAAAGAAATAAAGAAAATATCACAGGAACAAAAGGAGATGGAAGAGAAAAGGAAAGAGAAGACAATTGTAAAAAAAATCTTCGTTGTCGTACTATCGTATATCCAACACTCAAACGAAAGCAATACTCAACATCTAGTGCACCAGCTAAAATTCTTTGTCGTCGCCATACTGCATCTTCTGCCTATCCATTAACAAATCGTGTTGATCATCTTGTTCCTCAAGCATTATTTCCTGGAAAAAAGTAAGAGATTTTTTTCTATGAATACAGTTTGAAAGTTAACTTTTCTGGTTCTAGTGCATTCTGGTCGTCCAAATATTGTTTTATCAGAGCAAGAGAAAGACTTAATTCGACTTGAATTTCATATACTTGTTCGAGAAAAAGTGTATCCAACTTCGGAAAAACTGCTGAAAAGGTTGACAGAGCAATATGAAGATTTTCCGATTCATTCGACAAGTATGTTATGTAAAAAAAATGAAGAACGTAAATGAAATGCTATTATCACGTACATGAGAAAGAGAAGGAAATACACTGCATAGATTTTTACTATTTTTTAGCTTGGTTTCGTATATCAACGTACATCAGAGATAAAAATTGCATTGAATTCACAAGCTTTTGTTGCGGCAAGGGTAAAATATTTTCAGATTCTTGAAGGGTTCACAGAAGATAATGCACACTTATACTATCATGATGAAACTTCGATAAATCTTCGAGATGTTAAACGATCTATTTGGACACTGAATGGCGAAGGGGAAATCAAAAAAGATGGAGGAAAAGGTAAACCATGACGTCACTCGTAAATAATTCTTCTACATGTCATTTTTTTTCTTGTTTACAGGG